GGGGGGGGGGGGGGGGGTTGTGGAAATGGGCCGTCTAGGCCAGCTCTGCTCTGGCAGGGGGCAAACCCTCCATCTTGCTCCCCTCATTTTTCATATTGGTTTTCCCAATCAGGAGAAAATTCAGTGAGGCTGTGTCAAGATATGCTGATTGCTCAAGGTACAAAGATAAATTTAGTGCATTTGATTGATTTATCATTGTTTTATTGATGTGATATTGCATTATAACACCACATGAGTTTCAGGTGTGCATCCCTGCGAACCGATGATATAGATGACATCAAGTTCATCACACCTTGTGCCGTCCGTCCCAATTTGCCTACCGCCTTCCTCTTTCATTGGCCTGAGAGTTCAAAAGCTTGCTTTTGTTTTCTTTAGTTCACCTGTTTGCTTTCTCTGCACAGCACTTGAGCGCAACCATACAGTGTTGGTCTCTTTCTGTTTGACTATTCCACTAAGGGGAATGCCCTGCAGGCCCACTGTGCTATTACAGATGGCAGGTCTCATATTTTAACTTAACGGGATTCCATTTTGTACGCAGACGACTTCCTGTGGCAGAGCCAGCTATGTGGGCACCTTGGGGAGAACAGCAGGTTGCCAGGCTGGAGGTCTGCCAGGATTTATCTTCGGGGACTTCCACTTGACCTGTGTCATTGACTGAGCAGAAAATGACCAGTGTAAAGAACAAAACTGGAAAAGTAGAGAACGGTTTCTGTGCTTTCAACATTCCAGCTCCCATTCATTTCACTCTCCACGGTCTCGCTCCTGCCTCCCTGCTCACCTCTGCGGCCTCCCATCAAGGTTGGGGCATAATTCAATAGTGGTAAACAGAGAAAAGAAATGCCGAGCACAGAAGCTGATTTAGGGGTAGGCACGGGGCTCCCGCAGTACCGGTCAGAGCTCTCACTGAGAGGTGATGTAGTTAAATCTTGCTTGTAGTCGCAAACATCATCATGTGATGTTTGTGGGTACAGTACAAGTTTCCCTCTGCATGCAGAAAATCTGTCTGTGCAATAGTGGTTGCTGATGGGAGAAACAGCAGCGATACATGATAATGTAGCAGAAGTGGAGGTGGGATTGGTTGGTGACATTGTTCACCCTCTGCATAGCCATACACATCTTAAGTAAGAAACACCATCCTGCCCTGTCCGACAAGCCATGTTGCCTGTAACCTGGGAGTCTTAACTCATCTGAGGGGGTTACATTGGGAAAGACAACCATGCCTAAACCTGCAGCGTGAACATGACCTTGAAGTGCACCCGAGAGCTAGAAGACACTGCTTATTTCCAGCGAGGAGCTATGGACCCCAGGCAGAGCACTGTTGAGGCAGCTCATTGAGGGAAGTTACTCCTCATACAATTGCAGGTTCTGTGTCCTTCCTGTTTCTGTACTTGCCCAGAGTGAGGTCCCAGGAAGTGTACTCAATTCTGTCTTCCTGTTCAGGTCGTTCCCTTTTCTAAATGTAGCTGCTGGTGGTGGCTGCATGGTAAATGCTGAGTGGAGTGTTGAGTGAGAAACGGTCTTTGTGTTGGGGCAAGACGACTCCAGACACTGCTCTGGGACTGACTGGGGCTTTGGATTGCTCATGCTATGGACAGGCTGGCTCAGAATCACCGATGTCTTTATTAAACTCCAGATTCCTGAGTTTTATCCAAAAACTGCTGGGATTGTGTCTTGAAAATATGCATTTTAAGCAGCCTGTCCAAGTGATTTTACAATACTTTCATAGTTGAGAACAAGTAGTCAACACTTTGGTACAGGCTCATGATTCAGAGGAGAGAATTTAAGAGAAAATTCCTCAGTCAAAATGTTCTCTGTTGACTCACAAGGAGGACTTACTAAACCCAGGCTCTTCATAGTCTCAAAAGCACAGGAAGTGGAAGACATTGAGAGGCTCCTCCACACACCTGCAGAGAAATAAGCAGCACTCACAACTTTCAGATGGGATGAAGGGGATGTTCAACAGCTCATGGTCATTGTCAAGAGCCAACTGGTGCTGCTCTTAAAAAAAATACACCTCGTGATGGAACAGCGGGTTAGCAGCACTGCAAGCTGGCCGCAGCCGCTTCAGTGAGAGTTTGATCCCAGCCCTGGAGCTGAGCCACATGTTGTAGCAGACCTCTCCTGACCCGCCCGCTGCTCCCCTCAGCAGTGTTTTTTGTCGATCTGCCTGTTCTGCTCCCCATTCTGTCTTTGGTGAATCCTCTCACCGCCCCTGCTCCTCTGGCCTGTACCCCAGTTCTGTGTGCATAAGTAAATAAATCTTTAAAAAAAAATACACTTGGAGGTTGGAACTCAGAACCACACAACTTTTCCAATACTTCAGCGTCATACCTGAGATTTGGTGGATGTTTGGGAGATGATGTTTGTTACCCTAAACACAAATGCTTCACTTCATTTTTCCTTTTTTGATGAAGCCATAAGCAAAATCCCCAACCCAGAAGAACAAATAGTACCCAAGTGTTACATAACTCTCTTTCCTCATGTAATAAAGCAGCGTCACTGTAGCCAAGATCTGAGGGTGTTTTCTGCTGTGAAATAGTCTACAAGGCAGTATCTCAACAGACATTTTCAGCTTCTCAAACAGACAAGGCAAACAAACTCTCCTTCGACAAAGCCTCAGCCAAGGTCTGACTGAAAAATGGTAACTGGATGATTGTGACACCACTTTCCCCCTGTGCTGTACTGATAAAATGTTTTTCATGAATGACTCGTAGAGAAGCAGTCACTGCAGCACAGAGGATTCAAAACCTCATTAATATTGGTGACTCATCAGCGCTGGATTCTTTCCCTGTGTCTGAAAATGTCAGGAAATTAAAAAGGCACCGTGGCATCGCCAGGAGATGAATCCCAAGTCAGAGCCATAATCACTTCTAAATATTCTCTGTCTCATGGAAATTTGCTGTCACCTGGGATGTGGCCTGGTTTGTAGCGCCATTCGTGCCGACGAGAATATCCACCTGGTCCAGTAAACCACCCCTCTCTTCTTAAACAGCGCTGGGGTTGTGGGGTAGGAGGTGTAGCGTCTGTCACATTAGGGAGTGAATGGGACAGCTACAGTGTCCAGGTGCCTGCACTGGCTTCCTGAGGAGGAGGGAGAAGGTTGTGAGGACTGGAGCTACATGGGCTCCGCTTAATGGCATTTGTCTGGTTTATAACCTATCAAGATGTATCAGTAAATGGTGGGGTTTGTGGTGACTTATATTCTACACATTAGTGACAGGTACCATTTGGTACCTGTCTCACTTTCTATTTCACTTACATAATCACATAAGTCAAGGTCCATCTAGTTTGTCTCCCAAAGCACTATTTTATCTTATTAAATAGTTAAGTGGTATTCTACTGAGGATATATTCTGCAATTTCTTTATCTACTCACCTCCGGTGGGCATTGAGGTTGGTTTTGGGACTTGACTTTTGTGAAATTACATAGATATTAAATAATTGGAAAATCAATAAAATTGAGACAACATAATTGCTTTGCTCTTTAGTCTTTCCTTGAAGACTTAGTGTCAACAATTCACTGTGAGTTGCTTAAAACAAACCCTAGAATCTTATTTTAATTCCACTAACTTTTCCAGCTTAGAGTATGGGGAAATAATCACTTTTTGAATATAGAGGAAGCAAAAAAAAAAAAAATCCACGTTTGTACTAATATGAAATTTCAAACCTGTATTACAAAACTGGAGTGATAAGTATATCTTGACTGGCAGTGGATCTCATTTGCTCATTGGGTCCTTTGCTATAGTGACTCTTGGGTTTAATTCATTGAATAGCCTTATTTCTTGATGGGGGGTCTTGACCAGGGCCATACATACAATCACTAAGGGGACGCTAGTGACAGAGGAAGTGTGTGTGTAGCTTGTAGATGGTGGCCTTTTTCCTGTGTCTTTCTATAGCTTTCCCTTTCTAGATCTGTGTCCTGATGTCCTCTTACAAGGATAGCGCCATATTAGTTTAGAGCCCTCACTGATTGATGACTTCACTTTAATTCAATTCCCCAAATACAATCAGTCTGAGGTACTGGAGGTTAAGACTAAAACATAAATGTTGAGGGGACATAATTCAACCCATAAGACCTCAGGGAAATGAACATCTAGTTCCCCAAGTGTTTTGCTTCTTCTTGCTTCAGAGCTGCCTTCTCATGCCTCATCTCTGAGAAGCTGCCCCATACTCTCAGTGACCTACAGGTAAGGCAGCACCCAGAAATGATATTAGAAATAATTGAAACAAAACTGATCTGTCCAACTAAGTCCTAAGTGCTCATATCTATTTGCCAAGACACTTCACTCTGACTTCCAGTCTTTAAGGAGCTTTGTGGTGCTAAACTAATAGCAGATGGTGCATTTTTTATGAGAAAGATCATGCTCTGCCTTAGGGTATCATTTGTCCTGATTGGTGTTCTCTGCTCTGAAACACAGCATTTCATTCACACTTTTGGAAGTATATTAGCATATCATTTACCTGATGGTTAAAGGTAATACATAAAAATGCATGGTCGCCTTCATGCCTGGTAATAGCCATGATCCATCCAGCATAGTATTTCATTTTTGATGATCATGATCCCAAAAGGTAGAATGCATTGTTTCAAAAACTTTTCCCTGGCTCATGGCCAGGTGCATCAGC